ACAGTAGGTGGCGGTATGCACCTAAAAGTTGTTTGCGATCCGCCATTAATTCAAAAGAAGAAGAAGAAGAAGAAGAAATTTGTCTACTTGTTCATGAGATGTTTTGCTAATAGGATAGACACACACAGACAAAAAGTTTATTGCCTTGGTTTTTAATTGTAGGTGATACAAAAAGTGTTTTTTATGTAGATGTTTTTAATTGTTTTCCATAAAGCATCTGTCTTTTTGTTCATGTTGTTTGTTTCTGTTCTCCCCTCAGGTGTGCACCAGAATGCTTTTGGTGGAATGTGTGTGGATGAGAAACCTCTACAGCAGGCAGAACTCGTTAATTCTCACCATAAATCCAAGAAGCACCGCTTGGATGACTCTGCACCTGGTGGTTTCTTCATGATTACCTTTAAAAAACATGCTGATTTTACTCTGATAAATGTTGGTCTGAATCTTCCACTGTCCTGCTTTCTCTTTCTGAATTTATCTTTCCCACCTATTCTTAAACTTTCTGCCTCTCAGTGGCCTCTCCCCCTGCAGTGGGGAAGGAAGGAGCGCCGGCCTCCTGCTCCAGGAAAGCCGGTCAGAGGAAAACTGTTGGTGGGCTGAAGGCTGCAGGTGCTGCCTGTCTCACCACTGAACTGTTTCATCTTTCTGCTTCCTAGCTGTCCCAGTTTTTAACAACTGCTCTGTCCGGCACAGTGTTGAGACCCCTTTTATCAAAATACTTCACATAAGCAGCAGAACTCCTCAGATCTTTAGTAAAAAGGAACATCTTTCTAAAAACTAACAGTTTTATAAAAGCTGCATTTTGTTGCCGTATTTAACACACCTTTCACTATTTACATGTAATGTGCTATTAAAGTCCCTGTTACACTGTAACATTTTAGACCAGGGTTTCTTAACCTTTTTCAACTCGGGGCCCAATTTTTTGAACATAAAGTGGCACGAGGCCCAGACGGGCATTACCAGTGTATGGATCAAAATGGTAATTATTCTAAATCTTGGTTTAATTTGTATTGCATTTACATCATCATTTTACAACTAAACTATCAAAAATAACATAACTAAATTGAATACACTTGCAGTTTAAAAGTAAAACTCTGTTAAATAATCACAAGACATGATTATGACAAACATTTTTTATATTGTAACCTGCCCATAACAATTATTTGAACAAATACAAAGATCAGTCAACAGACCACTCAGGCTTATCAGCACATAATGTGTGTGTGTGTATATGTATATATA